AAAAATTTACTTACAATTGTCTTTATACGGCAGTTCCTTTGTTTGACAACACTACTGTAATTAAGTCGAAAATAGAAAAACCAAGATGGTGTGGCTCCCGGAGGGTTGTAGTCACTTTTAGATTTATATAAATGGGTTGACCTCGTTTTCGCGAATTAGTCTTGCTGTCAGGGTGATTTAGCAGAATGCACCTTGTCCGAAGTCTTCTGCCATAGTAGCTATCATAATTTCCAGGATCAGACTGTGGGCTTGGTACATTCACAGACGTTTCGCCGGCATGGTAGTTGCCATCATAAGTAAGTGTTCCCATTCGCCACACCAAGCTACAGACTCGTCAAAGAGACAAGTGAAGCAAATCCATCGACCAACGTTCTACCGAAAACGTTTACACTATCACTCCTCTTTCTGTCCTGGCTCATCTATTAACTCTTTGCTCTCTAACCCAACTCCTGCATATCACAACTTCTGGTAAGAACACAAGGAAGTGAAAGATTATGAAGGTCATTGGCATCCTTGTGAAAACATGAGATTGACGGATCGTAGAGTTATCGATCACTTTGCCTACTGCTTAAGCAAACTCGTAGAAAATTAGAATACAGTAATATCAGCAAAAAGGAGACGCGTGGACCTTGGATATATCACTATTTGGAGGGAAATAGATCGTGATGAGAGAAAAAAGCAATCAAGCGAAGAGGTTACCAGTGGGTGATATCTATTCAAGTGAACCAGTCAAACTTTGGGGGCTTGACAGTCAGGGTACTAAGCAGACAGATAGGAACAATCGTCACAGAAATTCTGCATCATGGCCAAGATGTACCAGAAATACAATTGAGATGCCTCATTCGACCAGAGATAGGAATCAACAGTTTGCTTAGGTAACATGGGTTTAATCAAGGAGACGATTCGTGAAAGCAATGCCTGATGTCTTCAATAATGGTGATTAGAGCCTAAGCGCTCTGCTCGGTAAGGCGGATTTGTAGGCCTTGGAAAATAGCGCCTGGAGTACACTGGCACACTAGCACTGGAACCGAGTGAAATCGGTCAACTCGAAAGATTATAAACGGATCTACGGGACTATGAGCTAGATCCGGATAGAAGTGCCAATCAGAATAGCCGATCGAAAGAGAGATGGCCAGGGCGAATAGCAGGTGTGATTAGTCCCTACTGAATTTGCTAAGAAGGGCACATTCTTTTGAGTGGAATGTAAACATATCAGAAATTGTGATAGGGTGGGATGTGGATAAGAGAGTAAAGAGTAGGCAGATGGGCCAGGACAGAAAGCGGAGTAATAGTGTGACTTTTAGGCAAAACGTTGGTCGAGGTATTGACTTCACTTGTCTCTGACGCGTTCGTAGCTTGGTTCGGAGAATGGCAACACTCACTAATGCTGCTGACTACGATGCCGGCGGAACGTCTGAGAATGTACTACTTCCACTGTCTGATGCTGGGAACTATGATAACTACTATGGCAGAGGATTTCGGACAAGGTGTGTTTTACTAAGTCACTCTGACAACAAGATCAAGCTGCCAAAAACGAGGTCAACCCACTTCTTATGTGTACATAGTTTGCACTTTGCTGTTTTATAATGCCGATTCGAAAGCAAATATTTTGGCCTTTATCAATGAAATATAATAAATAATTGGAAAACATTCTTAAGTATGAGAAAACAAAGCTTTTTTATATCTTCGATCTTCAACATTATATACTAGATCGATATAATCTTCCAGAGATTTCTTATCTCTTAACTTATATTCTTCACACTTATTTTTGGACAGCTTTTAAGAGCTTCCTTGCTTCCATACCAAGTCAATATTTTCAGAATAATGTTTTATGCTATTTTCCTATATTTACTAAAATAGATGCTAAATCTCGACCTGATAGCGATTTGCTTCCTCATTCTCTCGGGGAAGGCAATTTTCCACTGGATCTTCCAATTGATACTCTCCTTGGTCCTATTCATCCATCTACTACTTCTCTTTCGTCAAATGAGGAAAAAAATCAAATTTCTTCAAACCGTGACCAAAGAGATATCCTTCACAAAACCATTGCTCTGAATCGTCTGAAGACACCCTCGAATTCGTTGGCTTCAGCTAATTCAGAACCGATCTCTTCATATTTTAATAATGCAACCCATATTTCTGAGCATTCAGGCCATAGTCTAGTGAGCAGGCCAGAGTTTGGAATAGATTCTGAGGTTCTCGTTTCTCAGGAGCCCATTGCTTTCCCTCCAACACCACCACCTCGACAACTGCCACCTTTAGGTGCTGTACCCAGAAGCACCGAGACTCGCTTTTTTTCAAGTGTACGGAAAAGCAAAGATAGGGCGCTTGATCTACCTCAAGAATCATTTACAAAATACATGGGTAACTTGCCTTTTTTAGTTCTTCGGTGAGAGAAAGATTTTTTTGATCTCTAGCTTTTATGCCCTAACTTTTACTGATATTTTGGATCAAGATGGTTTTCTTTTGCTCTATCCTTTTTCACAAATATATGCATTTTAAAAATCAATTATTATTTATCGATAACAAGTCGTTTTCCGGACTAAATTCAAAATATAGATGTGATCTTTGCCTCCTGATTATTGCATTATCAGATCTATCTCAAATCAACATAAACACTTAGGGGCAATTATATATTTAAAAATGACTGCAGTGAATCTAACAGCATTTCATTATTGATTTAAATTTTTTTTATTTGCCTGGTGCATTTGATTTCGGAAGCTATTTCATTCATACTCTTAGTGTTAGTTTGTTCTCATTTTCCAAACATGTTTGGAGCATCAATATTTCATGTGGAACGTACCTAGTCCTTTGTTCGCTGCCGTTTTATTCATTATCTCCAACATCGGGCAATTGACTTGGTACATTCCAAGGCGT